TTCTATACACATCTGTGCTCAAAATCACTATGCCTTCTCTTGAATTCCATTGTGTTTTGCATGTTTTTTGTTATAAATTATTAAATAAGGCACCATGGGTGCCAAAGAAGGATAATAATAGCAGCAAAGTTCAAAGAAAAATGATCAGAATCATGATAGACATGATAGTCCTGGGTATGACAATAAACTACATCTGGCAGCAAGGCCTTTGATCATGAGATTGGAGCTTTTGAGGAGTGTGGAACTACCTCTAAATTGCTGTTGGTCCCAGGTCCACCCTGACCAGCAGTAGTAGTACCTGTTAGGGTCCCAGCTATGGGCAAATAGTGAACCCCCAAACAAAACACTATGAAAGTATAAAAATACATTTTTATAATACAAATAAAAAAAATACTAACAATATATATTTATATCTGTCTGTATTTCTGAGATGAGGTATTATAATTATTTACATTATTTGGACTGTTGTCCTCATCATTATTGTCATATTCATGATGTTTCAAGGAATGGTGAACAAAAACTTGGAGAATTTAGTTAAATGGAGATAACCGAGACATCTGAAAGAAGCATGACATGCACTAGAACGCTACCCCAGTAGATGAAATAAAAGGTTCAGTTTCAAATTCCAATCGCCTGAAGAAGGCCAGATCGTACAACAGCCAAAACATTATGAATATGGCAATAAAAATGAAGACAACAGTTTGAACAATGTGAATAATTTAAATATACATATTTATATTAAAATTACCAACAATACAATTTTAAAGAAAACTGACCAGCAATACATTTTATAGTAAAATTACCAACAATACTGTTATATTCCATACTAATAGGAATTTATACTTGAAAAACAAGGTGGATAAGATAAGTAAAGGTTTATTGTAAAAACCAATACAACAAGAATAAAGGTAACAGTTATACACAAGGTCGTTGCAAGTCAATCCAATAGTGAGTGTTACTATTGGAAGGTCAGTAGTTCTTGTATAAGTCTGGGTCGTACTCAACAGATCCCAGCTAGTCTCTGTAGTCGACTCTGTAGTTGACTTACAGATACTTATAGGTAGTTATTCATGGAGGTGACAAGTTATTCCATTACATCAAATACATATTATCTGTAATTGAAGGCATATAATTGCGTTCAAAATAGATTTATTTGAAACCATAAAATTGTTTTCAAAATATTTACATTTCGGCATTAAATAACCCATAGAGGTGTTGATATGCTACTAAACAAAATCAACTAACCAACAATAGAGGTGAAGAAAGAAATCATAGTCAAACATAAAAAAGGTGTCCATGTCTCTGATTTTGGTATGTCAAAATCAATGTCTGTACTATTCTCAAAAAGAGACAATTATGTTTTTTTTGTTTTTTTTTATGGAAGGAGACTCCTCTTTCGAACAGTACCATCTCTCCCTTTTCTTTTCCTCACCAACTTATACCATCAACTCTACTTTGTACAGGTATTATAAAATTAAATTAAGTTTTTGTCTATATTCTATATCTGTATTGTATTGCATTTATCATTTTTCTTTTGTTACATTTAATGATTTTTATTGGTTTTGTGTATGATCTTTTGTGCTGCCCAAAGATGTAAAAGTTTAAATAAGCAATCATCTGGGATCCAGGAATGGATTAATTCATTTTACACTGATTCCTATGGGGAAAATAGTTTTGGTTTACAAATATTTTGGGTCACAAACAGCTTTTCAGGTACCAATTAAATTTGTGAACCAAGGTTTCACTGTATATTTAAATAAAACATAAGCATGACTCATAAAAGATGAGAAAGAGGAAATTATACTTGCATATCGAAATAGCTGTAAAAAAAAAGGGTGCTGGTCTAGTCTGGTTTTTGCACATTCGCACATTAAGAGCGCTTCCTCCGACTGAGAAAACAAACTGGTGTTATGTAGCTCTCCCAGTCCCAGACACACGATGACTATTGGTTAATACCTGCCCATTGTCATTCATATGCAAATAGCCAGCACCACCTACTGTAAGTAGAAGGTCTTCTCTCAATGTCCCATTGTAGAAGAAGACGTAATTCATAGTGCTTACAGCACCACATACAACCAACTCAGAGTCATTTATTGGGCTGACCCAATTCTCTGTTACAGGGAAGAACAACATTTCAAAGATTAACATTGTGTACATGTCGGGATGTGCTTGTGTTTACCATGTGGTTTGGCAAAAGACAGCTTTTTCCAGTGACTGGACAAGAAGACTGTACAATGTCTTGTACCTACCATATTTAATTTGTTAGAGAGCAGAAAAAGAGAAAGCATGAATGAGTCTTTTCCTTTATACCACTGATTGTCATGCCACCTAGCGGCATTAAACGAAGTTCATTTTTTAGACAAAATGGGTTAATCCTTCACTGATCCTAGTATAGAAAGCCAGCTGTTCATTGCTGTCTGCACAAATCCTGGTGCTTGATTATCAAATAATATATATTATAGTCTAGGTTCAAGACTTATTGTAGGCCAGCATTCAGTGGGTAATACTTGAATTTCAATTTCCACCATCTATACAATGTCAAGAAAGGATCATTTACTGCCTATGGATCAAACTCATAAATAGTGATCCAGATAATCATGCCATATTACTTGTTCTTTCCATTTTGTTGAGAAGTGTAGAAACTATAATCATGATTATTTAATGCTGCCAATTTTTGGTTAATTGATATTCATCAATTAACAGCAATTATTGTAATCTTGTATAATAACAATTACTCTGTAAATTAAAAGAGCTCTGTAATGTTGTGTTATTATTATTATATTAATATTATTGCAAAAGTCAAGCAGGGCACCACAAAATAAAAGCTGGGGGAGGGGCTAAATCAAATGTTAAAAGTGAAGGTGCTAAATCAGATATTAATCTTAAAGCTTTTTGATTCTATATTTACCTATTTTTTTTTTTCTTGATCAGATTTTCTTTAATATTCTTTTGTTCTGATACCCTTTTTTTTTTTTACTTTTCCCTTGTATTTATTTTTCAGAATAAGTCCAATTGACTTTTTCCGCATATTATAAGATCTACGTAAAAGTTTTCGAAGCTAATGTTTCAGAAAAAAATGGAAAATAAAATTTTAGGATTTTGAAAATTAATGACAGTTTTGATTTTCAACAAGTGATACTTCTTATTTTATGTGCCATGTCCCTTCAGGATGTAGACGATCATGGTCCTCCACATCTTCCTGTTCTTTGTAGCATTTAATAAGTTTTATCTTTTTGTTATTTCTCCCAAACCCTGTTCTACCATCCATTTACTGAAGTTCATTAAGTATGTTATGTGCTGCTGTTCTCTGTCCCTAAATCTGTCCTAGGAGTATCTGATTTTCCAAGCCTTCCTTCCTTATTACATGCCCCAGAAATTTCAACTGCCTCTTCCTGATGTTAATATGAGTTTCCTATTTGTTTCCATTTTCTTTAAAACCTTGCCATTGCTCATATGTTCAATTCATAGTATCCTCAGCATCTTTCTGTAGAACCACATTTCTGTTGCTTCAAGTCTCTTCTTCATCTTTGAGGAGATTATCCAGCATTTGCTGCCATACAGGAGGACAGATATCATATAACAGTCCAAGATGCTTTTCTTTGTTTCTAACAATTTTTTTCTGTTTCTTAATACTCTGCTTAGTTTTTGGAATGCATCTTTGACCATCCCAATATGTCTTTGGATCTCAGTGTTGCACTTTCTGTTCCTGTATTTTTTTGAGCATTTCACTCCAAGCAAGGCAGGAGTGCCCCTAGAATGCAAGGGGTCACAGAGGATAAAGAACAAGAGTTAAGAAGTGTGTTAGGGGAGAGGATAAAGAAAAGGATGCAGAACAAGGTATCAGAAGATGTCGATTGACATTACACTTGAATATTTGAAGATTGTATTCATCAGGGAAGAAAATAAGAAGAAGAGAATTCCACAGATGGGAAGTGCGAGAAAAGAAGCTGTTTGAGAAGAGACAGTTACATTTAACCATTTCAACAGTGAAAGGGTGGGACCGAGATACCAACCTAGTAGCGCACTTAAATTGATGAAGTCTTGGAACCAGAGAAAGCAATGATTTTTTTTTCAAGTGATACTACTCAGCTCAATAGCATTGTCATACAATGAAGCTGAGAAGACAAATTTTGTCTTCTGTTTCCTTCTCCATTTCAGCAACCACCACCACCACTGTATCAACATGGGTGAAAGTAAATAGTATGCAAATGGAATAAATAAATACCTTTTAGTAGTGACACTTGAATTCAAGTCTTCTATAATAGGAGTTTGAACCTCACAGGGAGTGAAAGTTAATTTTTTATTTTGATTTCACGCTATACATTTTAATAGTATGTGGATTTGATTTAATAAAAGGTAACAATAAAACCAAGAAAACCCATCAAACATTGACACTAAAATACTTAATTTCAGATTTCTTGAGATTAATGGCTAACCATATTTTGTCTTTGTCATCTAGCAAATAAATATCATATTTAATGGCATAAAAATATCTCTCCTTATTTACATTTAATATGGAATTTGGTGAGGTTCATCTCCAGTTGACAAGGTTTCTGCAATATTACATAGAGTTAGCAAAAACGTTTTTTCAACCATTACACTTTGCAGTGTTATGATAATATTGCGGAAAAGACATCAGTTTGGAGTCTGGAAAAATTGTTGATTGCAATGTACTGAGAAATGGCTAAATATTAATCTACCAGATAAAAACCAATAACCTTTTTTGATTGATTTCTTTTTCATGGCTTATCACCCTTTTGCAAGTTATTTAAAGCCTGAAAATATTTTTAGATTTTAAGAATTTGGGGAAGGGAGGGGAAATAATACTGATTTTACTGATACAAGTCATTCAAATTAAACCCTAGCTGGGGTAGAAGTGTTGGATTCAAACCTTTCCCCAATAGTATCAGTGTGTAAATTAATACAATGAACCCAACTCGATTTGGAACTTTACTCTCCAATTTTTCATCTTGAGCCATTACACCAACCATGCATCCATGCTTACAGCACCTGATATTCCCAAGTGGTCACCCATCTAAGTACTGACAAGGTTCTTAATTGCTTAAGTTTGGTGATCTTGCAAGAACTCGTGTTTCAACATGATATGGCCATATACCAAACCACTTGCAAATCCAAGCTTAGAGCACATGGTATTTCCAAGTGTTCACCTCTACTGATCAGGCCGAGCATTGCTTAACTTTAGTGATCACACAAGAACTGGTGCTTCAATTTGATATGGCCATAAGTCACACCACCTGTAAATCCATTCTTACAACCCAAGTGGTCACCCATCTAGGTACTGACCAGGCACGACATTGCTTAACTTCAGTGATTGTATGAGAACTGGTGTTTCAATGTGATATGGCTATAAACCAAATAACCTTTTTTTATTGGCAGGTAATATAATTCTTTCTTTGAAAAGAAATATAACTTTTGAAGAAAACCAAATCAAGAATTCCAAAATCCTTGTTTAAATATTTTAAAGACTTTTTGGCATCTCCATTAAAAGGCATTGATTTTGTGTAATTCCTGCACGGGTTTGTTTTTGTAATTGGCACTGCAGCTTTACCCTCATTCCCTGGCAAAATCTGGTTCACTGCCAGGTTGCTTTCACACTCTCCCCTCCCCCATTGTGCAAACTGCTGCTCCATTGCAGACACCCATGTTTCTCATTTTATTTGGCTTCTATTTTCTGCTGCTTGCATAATTCATTGTGTTATGCACTAAATGATCCCCAAGACATTTCTCTTTAAATTTTTTTATTATGAGAGGACCTGTTACATGCTTACATTTTTTTGTTAGTGGTTGTAAAGGGGTAAAACTAAGAACAACTTAGAGAAGAAGAAGAAAAAAAGGAAATTGTGGAGGGCCATGATCACCCATGCAATGAAAGATAATGAGTATTCCATCATCAACAATCATGCTTTTTTCTTTTCTTATTTTTTTTTTCTACATTCTATCTCATGGGGCTATTATTTCATTTTTTGTTTAGCTGTTGCTTCACCTTGGAGTAGTGGTTAGCACGCACATCATCGTGTTAGTTTGGGTTTCACTAGATGCTCCATATTTGTGACATTGTGCCAGTCTAAGCTTACTAGATAATTGTTTTTAGTGCTCTGCCATGAAATAGTGGTTAGCAAACTTGTCTCGCAGACCATTATTAGTATGTTTGGTTCACAGTGAGTACTCATTATAGTTGGCCTTTTGACACACTACCAAGCTTACTGTTGAGAATACCATGGATAAAGCATGTAAACAATGAGGAAGTTTTGAAAAAAATGTAATCAAAAAGAACACTTATATTTAGAACCAAAAAAACACAATTGAAATTTCTAGGACATATAACGATGAAAAAAGGCTTGGAGAATTTGATACTCACAGGACATATTGAAGGCAGGATAAACAAGAAGAAATGGTGAATAACCCTACCTAACGGGCCTATGTTAATGGATAACAGAACAGGGACTGGGGTAGATTGTGAAAAGACAAACATTAATAAAAGCTGCAAAGGATAGAAAGTTGTGGAGAACCATAAGCACTCATGTCCTGAAGTGACATGACACATAAAAGAACAACCTTTTCTTTGCTTTTTCCTCCCATGTGGATCTTGTAACTTGTTTTAGTGCTTAAAAATTTCTTTTCTTTTTTATATATACATATAATTTTTAATTTCAACACTTTATTTACCCTTTTTTATGATGAGGCCAAATTTTGGTTGTGGTAAGAGAAAGGAAGATTGTAATGCACCAGTAATCTATATTTCCAAAATGTCCTAATAGTCACCAACATCCCTTTATTTTATGTTTTATTGTTTGTTTTTATGTTTATTCATTTCATATATTGCCATACTCTGACTTCACTCAAAAGAAGGCAATAATGTCACTAAGATGCAAGGAGTTACTGGGGGCAAATGAAAACGAGAAGATGTTAGGAATTGGAAATTCAGTCCTAAACAGGAAACAAGGGATAAATCTTTACTCCTGTTCTAAAGACGGGAAAGGAGTGTGATTCTGGCAACAACTTCTAAAAAGATTGCAGATAAAAATAATTAAAATAAAAAAATTATATAAAAAATAATATTTTGGAATATTCTTCCAGCTACAAGAAAATAATCTTTTGCAAATTCAAATTTTGAATAATTTTTTTTTGAAGAGAATTAGTTTTATTTTTTTTTCCTTCATTCTTTATTTGACTTCCTTATTTAAATAAAAATTAAATAAATCCTTTTTACATTCATGCATTATGAAAAAAGAAACTCTCAATTTCTCTGCATCTAAATTTTATATTTTATTTAATCAGGTTTCCTTTTTGGCAACAAAAATTCTTTATCTTTCTTTTACTAAAGAATGAAAAAGATATTTTAAAGTAATGCTGTTAGCAATCTGTCATCGTTACAGTTCATATAATAAACAAAGTTCCAATAATTGAGTTAAAATTTAAACCGGCAATTTACTGACATTTTTCAAAGTTTTGTACATGAAGGTGTGTGGACATTGAGTTTTGTGTATAGACATTGTTATAATAAAGAGTGAAAGGTGTCCGATTATTTGAAATGTTTGTAGAAAAGAACAAATGTCTGAGATAGAGAAAAGTTTGTACATTATTATTATTATTATAAATGTCATTACTCACAGTTTACAGTAGAAAAAGTTCAGAAGACTAAAAGAAGCTGGTATATAGTTTCAGTTGTTGGGGAGTCTTTTGATCACTAGACACTTTGCTTCCTCCTTGGGAGGAGAAAGGAATCATTTCACATAGATGAGCTGGCATTTTTACTTAGAGGCAAATTCTCCTATTCACCCGTTTTCAGAGAATACTAAAAATTGGAATGTTTTTTTTTTGTTTTTTTTTTGTATTTACTCAAACCAACAGTGATTGGTGAAAAACTTTATTTTTTTCCCTAGTGATCTGTTTTTCTACTACATCCGCAAATTTTTAATTTTAATTTAGATCACATTTTTGCCACTTGTTTTCTTTTGTGGTCTTTTATTTATATGTATATATATATATATATATATATATATATATATATATAGTCCATGCTAATGGGAATATATACTTGAAAAACAAGGTGAATAAAATAAGTAAAGGTTTATTGTAAAAAACCAGTACAATAAAAAAATGGGGTAACAGTTATGCACAAGGTCATCGCAAGTCAATCCAGTAGTGAGTGTTACTACAGATACTTATAGGCAGTTACTACCTATAGTGTCGTCACTCATGAGGGTGACAGGTTATTCCATTACAGCATATATATATATATATATATATATATATATAAGATAATCCTAAGGAGCCAGGCAAATCAACCTAGGTTTAACCAAAAATGATCGTCAGGGTAAGCTGGCCACCCTGACGATCAGTTTAGGTGAAACCTAGGTAGCCTGGCTCCTTAGGATTATCTTAGGTTTTTCTGTACTTAGTGTATTGACCATTTTACATAGTTGCCTTTTTACTCGTTTTGGTTTTTTTTTCTTTGGACTTGAAGCTTGAAAAGTGGATGATTGTTTTTGGCTTGGTTTAATGTTCTTGGTTCTTTCTTTTTTTATTCCCCATTTTCCCTTGGGTACAGATTTGCTCTACTGCAAGTTGAACTATCTGAGGTTTTTCCAAGCAAGTACCACTACTTTATATATATATATATATATATATATATGTATATATTCTGATATGCGTCTCAAATTTTTACATGTTACCTATTTTAAATCTAAAATTCTGATTACTGCAATTACTTTTGATGTTTTATACCAATTGACATCTTTCTTTCCTTGTGTATTGTAGCTTTTTGGTTTTTTTGTTTATTACCCAATTAAAAAGATTGATTTCTTGTTATGTTGGCACAAGTAAAATAATATATTTCATAAGACACACAGACAGACAAAACATATTCATGACTTCATATCACTAGGAATTATTTATTTAAAGAAATGATTCACATCTGCAACACTCAACAAAATGGCAAGGACTCAAAAAAAATTTTCATTCCTGTTTTAAAACAAAATTAAAAAGTATTTGGATAAGATGTATCCATCAACAAGTTCTTTCTATCACCTTTCAACTTATCACCATAAACCATGACCTTTAGTGGTAGAAGGTCAAGGCAAAGTTGCTAAACTGGTTTCCAATTGAAAGCCCAACACTATAAAATTTTGAATTGACTTTCTTTTCATTTGAAACCCAAAACAGACCAGCTTCTTTTAAAAGTGTTGTGTCGGAAACCTACAACCCCTCTTGAAGATGAACTTGTCTGCGTCTGTGAACAAAGACTTTAAATAATGGGAGACAGATAGACAGAGAAGTTCTTAGCTGAGCTTGTTATTGACTACTCAGGCGATTTCTGTACCTTTTTACCAACCTATTAAAACCCTTTTTATTGTTACGTGTTATTTGGCGTTTTTCTCTACTAACCCCAAATCAACATCATAACAAAAAGTGACCCCAAATAGGATCAAGTTTAGTTTAAATCAAAATTTAGTTGTGCAGGATTTTTAAAAATTAGGCATAAAAATTTGTTAATAATGGAGAGTGATTTTAAAACAAATATGTTGAAGTTAAATAGAAGAAAATATGGAAAACTTTGTTCTGAATTCAGAAATGTGAAATTCCACATTAAGTTAAAAGAGAATTATTAATTCTGAATTGTAAAAACCTTTGAATTTAAATGTTTAGAACTTTTCACAACTATCTCTCTTCATTATCTATCTATCTAAATTTGTTCATTATCTATCTATCTCTCTATCTCACTCTGTTCATTATCTCTCTATCTCACTCTGTTCATTATCTCTCTATCTCACTCTGTTCATTATCTCTCTATCTCACTCTCTCTGTTCATTATCTCTCATCTATCTCTCTCTGTTCATTTATCTCTATCTATCTCTCTCTGTTCATTATCTCTCTATCTATCTCACTCTGTTCATTATCTCTCTATCTATCTCACTCTGTTCATTATCTCTCTATCTATCTCACTCTGTTCATTATCTCTCTATCTATCTCACTCTGTTCATTATCTCTCTATCTATCTCTCTCTCTGTTCATTATGTTCATTATCTCATCTGTTCATTATCTCTCTATCTATCTCCTTGTTATTTATTTATCTGTTCAGTGTTCATTATC